ATTAAAAACCTTGTTTATTTAATTGATCATGTAGTTTCGGAATGCTTTTATGGGAACTTGCAGAACAAAAGCTTCCTTTTTCTGAAACTGGACTTACAGTACTCGTAATAAGTCAATTAATATTAGACAAAGCGATGAATCTAAAATTTTCAAATAATGATGTACCAGAACAATGGAACTTCTTGTATTTGAAGGTAAATTAATTGTTAATTTTGACATATTCCTTAATTTCGCACAATGTTGATTTATTTATAATCTTTAAGCTACTAAATTCAGAGCCAGAGACCGTCCAGAAATGAAGGAAGTGCTTAGGAAAATTAGATTCATAAATGAATCGATTAATGCAGCCACTTCCGATGCATCAGAATCGTGTAGTGACTTATCAATGTTATCATTTAATGAAGCAATTGAACAGACAACTCATAAAAGTGGTTCTAAAGAAAGAGCTTGGAAAACAATTGCTAAATATTCAGAAATAGATAATGATTTTACTGCAAAATATTGGAAAGGATATTATCTTTATAATAACTTAATTAATTTTCCATATTCTGATGATGAAAGAAAGCAGCTTGCTGCTGATGCATTTAAAGAAGCTGCTGATGGAGCAAATATGCGGGAAGCACAATTTATGTACGCTTCATGTGTTTATAAAAAAGATCCATACACGGCGATAGAATATTTTGAAAAAGCAGCTGAACAAAATCATACAGCCGCGATGCATAATTTAGGATTGTTATATTATAATGGTAAATACATTGATGCCGACAAAAAGAAAGGTGAAGATTGGTTTAGAAGAGCTGCAGATGGTAGTTTTGAAGCTGCCATTATCTTTTGCAAAAAAAATGGAATTACTTTTTAATTTTCTGAAAGGAATTATTTATATTTTTCTATAATATGATAATTCAAATTACAAATTATGTTAATCATTATACAAAATAAAAATTAAAAGTGATTTTAAACTAGAGTTATTCATTTTGAATTGTATTGAAATTAGCAAAGTATCTAAGTCGATTCTCTAGATTTAATATTGCTACTGTCTTTTTTTGTTATTAAATATTACAGGATAATATTTAATGAGAAAGCCTCAGTTATACAATTGATTAAATTATAACCAAGATTTCAACGTTAAATCACCAGTTAACTTATATTCTAGCACATTTTCAAAAATATAATTTGATTAATTTAATTAAATTTATATATGTGTATTACCCTTACATAGGCCAATGGGTTTAAATTATGGTTAAGATAACAAAAAGAGACAATTTGATGACAATTTTGACTTGTCTGCATTATACATATAATAGTCTTTAGATTTTACCAATGCATTTGGTTTACATTCATATAATTTAAACGGCAACCGATTTGAATTAGGGCAAAAATTTGCAGTTCATGATATCCAAGCCAAATCGGAATGATAAGTGTCCATAAAATTATTTCGTACAATTGTTGAAATCACGAAATTGTTAAATTTTTGTAGAATTCTGTCTTATTTGGAACATCGATCAGCTCGGAGGTCATGGTACCGCCAAATTTTTACGTCATCACTATTTTACTCGAAAAATTGTTAAACACTTATGTATTAGCAGATCTTCTGTAGATTGTGTCCTCAAGATCTTCAAAGAATATGAATGTAATGAAAAATTTCTCAACAAGTATTAATAAAAAATTTTTTGAAGATTGTTTCACATTTTTAAACCAACAGACCATATATCGACATAACTTTTTTTTTATTAGCCCACTAAACTTCTCAGTTCATTTCAGACTTACATATGGCGATAACCGATTGTAACCAGTTAACTTTTGATTGATGTTTTGTTTCGGTTTAAATCACTAGTTTGTTTTGTCAAAAAATCGCTTATTTCTCGAACATCCGTATAAGAAGCCGGCTTTATTGCTCTAATAAAAAGTTTCCTTAGGCGATTTTACTATATCATCATCCAACTTCTAACCTTATTCTAAATGCTAATCCTAACATTAACGAACTTTAAAGAATTTCTGCTGCGTCGCAAACATTACACATTTTAGACATGAGGCACTCAGAAAATGTGTACCAGATTTATAACGCAGACAAAATTTTTAAAATTCGTTAAGGTTAGGGTTAGTGTCGCAAAAATACCGTTCCTGATGGATCGTCGGTACTGTTCCTGATAGGGTGGGAAAAAAAAGTCGATTTACATACCATTCCTGATAGGGTTCTAAAAAGGGCCTCCAAAATACTATACTATATAATAAAAAAAAGTTAGGATTAGGGTTCGTTTTTAGAACCCTATCAGGAACAGTACTCAAATAAATTTTTTTTTTAACTCCATCAAGATCGGTATTGCCGATCCATCAGGAAGAGTATTTTTGCGTTAGTGTCTTGTATGAGTCAGAGAGAAGTTTATATAGTAAAATTGCCCAATGAAAACTTTTTGTTAGAGCACTAAAAGTGGTTTCTTATGCTGATTTTTGAATTATGAGCGATTTTTGCAGAACGAACGTTTGTTTTGAATCTTCCTAATAGTGTTTCGTTACACCTAATCTTGAAATTTGATTCGTAGTTCTGGATATCTGCGCCACAAACCTGGTACACATTATTCGAGTGCTCAAATGAGTGCTGCAAAGCGAAAATCTGTAATTTCGATTTTTACCGGCTCCACTTTCTGATCCGACTCCTGATAAATTTAAATTAAGCACTTGCAACATGGCTACCAAAATCAGTTACGTATGGTGTTTAAATTTTTTAACCTGTGAGATAGTGATAGATATTGTCAATGTAACATGACTAATTGTGATTTGTTGATTATATATATAGCAAAAATTTTTTGAAAAAAAATTTGTTTCGCAAATTTAAAATGGAAATTATCTTACCCAATATTGTTCATCTTATCGCACGACAAAACTTACGCTTTCGCAAACAAAAAAAACATGCTTCTTATGCTTGGACTATAGGATCCAAGATTATTATAGTGAAGATTCAAAGAAGTCAGCATGGTGTTTTTGCAGAGTGCATCTGCTAATGCCTTTTCTTCTTCTGATCCAAGATTATTTTTTGCCAAGAGCCAAAGCAGTCAACGTGATGTTTTTTCAGAGTGCATCTACTAAAGATTTTCCTCCTAATCCAAAATAATTAGAACCAAGACCTAAATCTTTCAGCGTGGTGTTCTTGCAAAGTGCATCAGTTAACGCTTTTTCTCCTTTTGATTTCAAATTAATATTACTAATATTTACAGAAGCCAGTGTGGTGTTGATACAAAGTGCATCAGCTAATGCTTTTCCTCCTGATCCAAGTTATTATAAATAATATGCAAAGAAGTCAGCGTGGTGTTGATCCAAAGTACATCTTCTAATTTTTTTTCCTTTATTTGATTCAAAGAAGTCAACGTGGTGTTCTTGCGAAGTGCCAGTATTAGCGCGCCCATTTCTATGTCGCCACGTGTAAAAGAAACATTCCTGAAGCATTTTTTGATCTTCTTAAATCTTCAGCACTGTGGCTATTCATGAGAATTTTTTCATAAAGCTCTAATACTTTGAGAAATCTGCCTTGCTCCAAATATTCGTGCGCTTCTTTTCTTATATTTTCAATATTATTGTCTTGCGTTCAAGTATTTGCATTGGGAAAAGATGAAAGGTCTGAGCTTGCTACATGAGACAAAGATGTATTATGTAAATAAATGAATTTGTATCTTGATCTTGTTATTTTAATTAATGGTTCGTTAGAGATAGGGTTATCCAAAGTTTCTTTGAAAACAATTTGACTTAAAAAATGTTTTAGGCCACGCAAAGTTAATTTTTCGTTTTGCATAACATGGTATTTCAAAATTCCGGTCGGCGGGTCGGATTTTTTT